TGTGGGCCAAGGCCGGTTCAGGCACCCTCTCCTCTGTCCAGAGAACAATCTGGGGATCTCTCCTTGGACCTGGGATCCCCTTTATACTCAAGTCTCTTGTAAACCATCAAAATGACTCCCTTAGTTGAGGTATATACTTCCCTGATCCCATATCTATCCATTCTCCCTCCCTCCCTAGTCCCCCGATCTTTCCCCATTCCTTCCCTACTCCCTTCTCTCTAACCCTCTCCCCTTCCAACAGCCCCCCCACCCACCCATGCACCCGAGGTTACCTGACACTCTTGTCTATTTCCAATCTCCAGGAGGATAGCTACATGATTTTCGTCAGGTTCACCTTCTTATTTAGCTTCTCTAGGATCACGAATAATAGGCTCAAAGACCTTTAATTACGGTTAGAATCCACTTATGAGTGAATACATACCATATTCCTCTTTTTGGGTCTGGCAAACCTTCATCCAACGTTGGATGGCTATATAGACGGAGACCCATATTGGAGCACCGGACGGAACCCTCCACGGTCCAAATGAGGAGCAGAAGGATGAAGAAAATGAAAAAAGAAATCAGGACTGCGAGGGATGCGAGCACCCACTGATACAAGGGGACTGATATAATGAGAGTTCACCAAGGCCAGTTGGACTGGAACTGAATGAGCACGTGATCTAACCAGATTCTCTGAATGTGGCCGGATTCCCTGGATGTGGCGGGCCCGGAGTCTTTCTGAAAGGCCATTGACAATGACACTGGGACTTGTTTCCTCTGCATATACTGGATTTTGGGGATCCAGTCTGTTTGGATACTCACCTTCCTGGACCTGGAGGGAGGGGGGAGGAACTTGAACTTCCCACAGGGCAGGAAACCCTGACTACTCTTAGGGATGGAGAGGGAGGAGGAGAGGGAGTGGGGGAAGTGGGAGGGTGTTGGGAGGAGGGGCGGAAATGGAAACTTTTATAATTTAATAAACTTTAAAAAAATAAATAAAAAAATAAAAAAAACCACAAATGAAATGTTACTACAAAAACTATTTCTAACCCCAGACTTTTCTATTTCCCCTTATGGCACTCAAAACATAACTATGCTTTCACGAGAAATATGTGTTTCCCCCTCTCTGGAATATTTCCCAAATATTTATTTTTTTATTAAAACCATCAATTTCAAAACAGTAAAAAAAGAAAAAAAAAATCCTCAAGGGGAAAATTCTATAATGTGGTGTAATGTTTTTTGTATCTTTGTTTTATTTTGTTGTTGCATAACTTATGGAGCTTGTTTTAATGACTTCCAGTACTCTGAACCCATCAATAGCACCACCTGATGAAATGGGCACACCTACACTAATCATCAACAGGGAAACTCTCAAAAGAACTGGAAATGAACAAGCATAGGATGAAACTAGTCCCTCTGAATGTGGTTGACAGTTGGGGCAGACTGAGAAGGCACTGACAAAGGCACTGGGATTTGTCTGTACTGCATGTACTGGATTTTTGGGATCCTATTCTTTTTAGATGTATGCCTTGATCAGCCCAGATGTAGTGGGGAGGGCCTTGGAGCTTCCACAAGGAAAAGTTCCTTACTCTCTCTTAAGATTAGAGGGTAGTGGGGTGGAAGTCTGTGTTGATAGCATGGGAGGAGTAGACGGAGGGGGAATTTGGATTGGTATGTTTTAAAGTAATAAAAAAAATAACACACACACACACACACACACACACACACACACACACACACACACTGAATTTGCCCAAAGGTAGTATGGTTATACTATTTTCTCAGTTGAGATTTACTCTTTCAAAATGATGCTATCCTGCTTCAAGTTGACAGCAAATATAGGCAGCACAATGGACACCTTTTCTTTAGTGTTTTGGTGGAATTCTTGGTGGACATCTTTGAGTTACATATCATTTGATAACAGTAACAACGTTGGTAATAATCTATGCTTTTAGAACTAATAGTATATCTTTTTAAAAAATTTGGTGCACCTTTTGCTGCATATATATTTAAATTGCATTACTCTTTTGCTGAATATTTTCTTTAATGTGTTTGAAGAAATTTTCATCTCTTCTAACTATTTTGGTTTAGCATTATTTATATCATATACTAAAATAGCTCATTTGTTTGCTTCTTAGCTCTTTTTGCTTGGAGTCCCTGTTTACAACTTTAACCTGAGGTGCTGTGGCATGATCGTGAGGCCTGTTTCTCAGAGACAGCAACAAGAATGATTCTGTTTTCTAATCCAATCTGTTGTATAAATCATTTTATTGTGACACTGAAACCATGAGTACTAAGAGATATTACTGGTAGGAGTAACTATTTCCTGTCATTTGTTGTTTATGATATTTTCTTGGAACTCTGGATTAAGAATTCTGTAATAATTTACTTATTTCCTGTGATTTTTCATTAATCTCTGAGGAACTAAATTAGTGATTTTAACTTTTTATTAAAACCATTTTATTTTGGAATGTTTTTTATTTTTCTGTTAATTTTGACATATTCTTTATTATATAAAAATGTGTGGACTGAGAGTTGAGCTTGTAAAAACATGGTGTACATTTTTTCAGGACTTTCTGGCTTGAGAGTTTCAATCAACTTTTTAGGCATTATTCTGATAAACATGCCTTTAAAGTGAGTTGACCTCTCCTGTAACTTTCAATGCCCTTTCCTTATTTTGTGATTTTAATATCCTAGCTGTAATATATCATGGTGAGGTCTTTCCTCTTCCAGTTTTGTGTCCTACCTGTAGTCCACTTTAGCCTAGATAGGCATCTTTTTCTAGATGATTAGGACATTTTGTCTATGTTCATATTGAACATATTATTTATGCCTTCGCTATCATACATTTTGCCTTGTCTAACTCCACTAATCCAAAGAATACTTACATCTCCTCATGCTGTCCTCATATATTCCCATAATCTACTCATATACACTTTAATATTTTCTACTTGGCTTTACTGAGTGACTCAATAGCATGACATTATATTCCAGTTATGATTCTTAGTATTTTTACATGACCCATTCTATTTTTTTGTCATTCCATGGGTTTTTGAATTATTAATATTTTCATTTTCATAATTATTTTAGTTTTATATTCAACATTTTTTAACCTTATTTTAATCTTCTTATAACTTTAATTTCTTCTTAATTTCATTCAACTCCTCATTTTGTTGTTATTGATGAAAATGGTGAAAATGATACACCAAGCTCTGCACTCATAAGTCCTCCCGTTCAGTGGACATTACTGAACATAGAACATCCTACATGGAGTTGAGATTGAGCTGGGTATTCCTAGTTGCTCTTTGAAAGAGTAATCTACATGTAAGGAGGGATACTCCGTGTACGAATGGATGAGAGCGAGAGTGACAGTACACATTTGTGACAGTTTAATGACAGAGTTTGCTGTTGTCAGGTGTCCAGTGTGAGGTGCAGCTATTGGAGTCCAGGGCAGACTTGGTGCAGCCTAGAAATTCTATTAAAGTATTGGATGTTTTTAAATGTTTGCTAGAAAACAGGGGAAAATATTTGTCATATGTATGTTTGATGGATATTAGTAGCTAGAATATATAATAAACCAAAGCGTTAACCAATAAAAAACAAATAAAAAATCAACATATAGAACAATTAATCACAGATGATTCTCTGATTATGAAATATGAATGATATATATATATATATATATAAAACAGTGTTCAATATCTGTAGACATCAGACAGCAAAAAAAATACCATGTGTGTCTTTAATTTATTTCACTCAAAGCAGAAAGTTTTTCATCAAGAAAATAAATATAAAATAATGGTGAAGTTACAAGAAATTAACATTTTTAGTGTCTGATGGAAAGGTACATTGGTACAGAAATTGTAGAACTCAATAGAGAAGTTCTTAAAAATTAGAAATAAAACAATGTATTCTATTATACCACTACTAGTAAACCTGTTGAAAGGCTATGAAAGTTACCACATTTTATTCATGCCTCACTAATTGCAGAAATCCAAGGAACAGGTACAGGAAGTGGACAGCAGGGTCATTTTTTGTTCTTGTTTTTCTCTACTTAACATGTTTTGCCATTAAATGCAGAAAACAAGCCAGACACACTATGGATTTGTCATGTTTTTCACTGAAGTTTCCAAAACAAAATGGATACAGACCTGTAGTTATTTCATTGAACCTTATTTGCTATCCTGGGAAAACAATAGAAAAAGTTTTGCCACAATCCATAGCATCCGAAAGTCACATGAAGTTGGTTTCTTTCAAAGAAAATAAATTCAACAAGTGAAAATTATGATTCAAACATTCTCTGCTCATGTAGTATGTCATGATTTCAAGATTTATCATTCTGGTAATTATTGACCAAACACCATAGAATGTCATATATTCAAGGAGTGAAGATAAATGGAAGGACATCTGTGTGTGGCTTGAAGTCCAGTCAGGAGACTTGTTGATTGTCCCAGATGTGGAAAAGTTGCCTCTTAAAGGATCTGAAAATTAAAGGTGATTTTATTCAGAAGTATGATAAATACATAACACCAAAATGTTAAAATAGTCAAACAAGGGTAAAACGGGATTTTAGTATGCTTTGTCACATACCAAAGGGTAATTCTGGAGAGCAGGCATATTTCTTCAATGCATGTTTGTCAGGAGAGAGGATCAAGTCTAGCAATTTGTGCATGCTACACTAGTGAGCTAAGATTTTAAAGAAGATTTTAGATTTTAATAATTCTATTCAACAGTAATTCATCTTTATATCAATTCTTTAAAAATATTCAAAATAATATTTTATTATATCAGTGAATTAGAGTTTTAGACATGGTTAAATCATAAAATTTAAAGAGTTAACACAACTACAAAAGATAAAATAAAACATTGTAACACCGTTACTGATATCTAACTCATATAGAAATTTTAGTGTTATGAACTAAAACTGCACCCTCTATTGTTTCAACCCTAGAGCTGACTATAAAGCAGGAAGGAAGAAATGCAAATTGTGCTTCCCTCTCCTCATGAAAACCAGCCCAGTCCTGACTCTGTCACTCTTGAAGGGGAGCCCAGTCCTGAGTTCCTCTTTCTTCCCATTCACATATCAACACTGAACACAGATCTCTCATCATGAAGTTGTGGCTAAACTGTATTTTCCTTGTAAATCTTTTAAAAGGTAGTATATGGGAAGAAGATATGCTGAGTGTGTGGGAGCATGAGTAAGAAGAGGGCATGAGTAAGAGGGATAACGGTTGTGTGTTACATTTTCCTCACTTGAATTCTCTATTATTGAAGGTATCCAGTGTGAGGTGCAGCTTGTGGAGTCTGGAGGAGGCTTGGTGAAGCCTGGTGGTTCCCTGAAAATCTCCTGTGCAGCCTCTGGATTCACCTTCAGTGATTATTATATGAACTGGGTCCGCCAGGCTCCAGGAAAGGGACTGGAGTGGGTTGCCGTTATTAGAAACAAAGCTAATGGTTACACAACAGAGTACAGTGCGTCTGTGAAGGGCCGCTTCACCATCTCCAGAGATAATTCTAAAAACACCCTCTACCTTCAAATGAACAGTCTGAGAGCTGAGGACACTGCTACTTACTACTGTGCCAGAAACACAGTGAGGGGTCTTCAGTGTGAGCCCAGACACAAACCTTCATGCAAGATTGCTTGGGGCAAAGAGTGGGTGTACAAGGCCAGAGAAACAGACAGGATGCAGGAGAAATACACTAATTTCTCAGGAAAGCCATCTAGGATTTATAGTGCTGAATCAAACACAGAAGTCTCTACATTGAAAAGTGGCAACTTCACAGAATGGCTGAGCTATGAGAAACTGAAAGTGGGTGTAAACTTCTATTTGCCAATAGCAAATTCAAGGAGACAAGAACAGAAGTTATTAAAAAAGACACACTTTCTTTACATGTGTGCATTGCATTTAGACATATTTCTTTGAAACTTGTTATGCAACATTTTAAGATTATAAACTTCTATAGTAGATGACACCTTTGGGTTTCTTTGTAAAACACATTTCAGTTTTAATCTAAACTGAGACTATGAGACTTAAAAAAAGATATTACAGCAATGTAATTCTAATATTTGAAATTTGTTTGTATAATATAAAGCTATTAATTTAAAAATGGAAGATGTTTATTATTTTGCAAAATTTGGGCCATTTTACAAAAGAATTTCCTAATTTTTGATAAAAGTCCATTTGTGTTATACTAAGTACTACTAAGAAGACTAAAATAATTTTGTAGTTCCATTTATGATGAACATTTTTACAGAGACATTTTCAAAACAGAATTCTTTCACAGTTTTTACATAATTCAAAAACTTACTATTCATTATGGATTTTTTTTATTTCCACACTACTTTTAAGTTGTGTAATTAGCTTATAGTCCTTACCTTAGTAATGAAATACAATTAATGATTCTTTCCCAATTTGTTTATTCAAAGGATAATGAGTTGAGTGACAAGTGAGACATCCTTTTAGGATTAGGCAAATAAGACCAAGGATAATTTTATGTTTTCCAAATGGCTTTTACTTTTGCTTTGTTTAGCAGTTTAAGACAAATGTTGAGTTTGTGCTCTTTATAATTTATTAGACCTTTTACCTTGCTCTGGAATGGTTCTAAAAAGATTATAGCTAACCATTGTAACTTTTTTTTTACTGTAGAGTGTTTTTCCTGCAGGTCAGAAGAGGGTTCCAGATCTTATTATAGATGTTTTGCTTTTTTTTTTTTTTTTCTGTAGAGGGTTCTTCCTGCAGGTCAGAAGAGGGTACCATGTGGTTCCTGGAAATTGAGCTGAAGGCCTCTAAAAAAGCAACCAATGCTCTTTGCTTCTAATACACCTCTCTAGCCTGATGGTTTACTTTATATGTTATCTTCCAACATACATATCTTTTTATTGTTGCTATTGAGTTATATATTTTTCTCTACTCCAATTCCTTCCTCCCCCTCCCCATCTATCCTTTCCAATGACATGCATACTCCCAATTTATTTAGAAGATAATGTCTTTTTTCTCCTTCCTATGTAAATCCATGCATATCTCATATAGGTTTTCTGGATTACTGAACTATAAATTGGGTTTTTTTGTTTTATATATATATATAAGCCGTGTATGACTAAGAATATAATATATTTGTCTTTCTGTGTCTGGGTTATGTCACTCAATATGATTTTTTCCTGATCCATTCATGTGTATGCAAATTTCAAGATCTTGTTAATTTTTACCAAAATGTGTAACATATTTTCTTTATCTATTCTTCACTTAAGTGGCAGGTAGCTGTTTTCCAGGTTCTGGCTATTTCAAATAATGCTACAATGTACATAGTTGACCACATGTCCTTTTGTTATTGTTGTGCATCATTTGGGAATATAAGCAACAGTGGTATTGCTGGGTGTTGAGGTATATTGTTTCCTATATTTCTGAACAATCACTATACTGTTCTTTGGAAAAGAAGCTATACAAGTTTGCACTCCCACCAGGAATAGAGGAGTGTTCCCTTTACCATATTCTGTTCAGCAGATTCTGTCATCAGTGTTTTTGTTCTTGTTCATTTTTACAGATGTAGGAGAGAATCACAGAGTTGTTGTTTTTTTTTTTTTTGATTTTTTCTTTCTCTGATGGCTAAGGATGTTTAACATTTCCTTAAATGTCTTTGAACTATTTGAGATCCATTTGTTGCAAGTTCTTTGTTTAGGTCTGTACCCAATGTTTTATTGGAATATTTGTTCTTTTGATCTCAAACTTCTTTTTCAGTCTTCTGTCCACTGTGGGGTTGGTAAAGATTTTTTCCCATTCTATAGGTTGCTCTTTTGTCTGTTGGACATGTTCTTTGCTTTAAAGAATCTTCTCAGTTTTTGGAGGTCCCATTTTTTAACTGTTGCTCTCAGTGTCTGTGCTATTCATGTGCATTCAAGTGAATGTAAAATGAGGGAGTTCTAGAAATGGAAAATATGAATAATGATCATGAACCACAATTGCAAGCATAAACAGTAGAATACAAGCTCTATTTCTTAAAAGAAATGATCCAAAATAAAAGTCCCTTGCACTGCTAGGAATTGAATCCTTGCGATCTCTAAGTTATTGTACAGAGTGATGAAAACTTTACATCATTTTTTGAATTTTCACGCTTTTAAACCATAAGATTTAAAAAAAAAACTTCAGCTATGATTTCTCTAGCTTTTCTGAGTTTTCCCGGGCAACAATTTTTTATGGTATTAATCCTATTGATCTTTGAGCATTGGTCAAGTTCTATGGAGAATTTTCCAGTATTTTGCAGTTGTTAGCATCCCTGTAAATTCTTAACAAGCTCATTCTGCTCCAGAAATATTATGTGCTTTTTTTATACTTTATAAAATGGTCAGCTGACCTGATGCGAAGATAGATTCAAAGACCTGAGAGCACTACGTTTCTTGTATTTTCAATGTTGCAGCACAATTCACAGGCAAGTCACAAAACAATTTGGAGATAGAGATATATTCATAAAGGAGGCCTAGTATGAACTCCTATGCATAGTTTGCTGAGATGTTGTGCCAAATTTATTCTTAACCCCAAATAAGCACCTACTCTTTCACAGGAGAGGCCCTCCAGTTGGTAACTCAGTCCAGGTGTGAAATCTGAGAATGAGACAAAGTGATACATATAGTGGAAGTGTTGGTACCAATAACTAGGGCTTGACACAGAGACTGAAATACATCCATTCCTATATCCCATATTAAGTAAGCTAAGTATGTGCATGTGTGTGTATTATACTACTTGTTGTTAGGTATTAGAATAAAACCATATCTGTCTGTCTCAACATATGTCCTCTGGTGTAGCAATTGTACAAAAGAAAGTAAGCGTATCTGGGTAATCTTCCGGAGCTTATGTATTTATCATGTTAGTATTCTTCTTTAGAAACTCTGACACGTGTCAGGGTTGATGATATGTCCTATTACAATTGCCTAGTGAGCATCTGCATTGTACTTCACATTAATACAGGAAAGTCAATGTTCAAGACAAGATTCCTATCAGAAGCGAGCTTTCTCCCTGAGCCTGCTCTCCTGTCCAGGGCAGTGTTCATTACTATGAGTCATTGGTCAGGTTTGAGACATCTGAATTCTACTACACTATTGATAATGGACTCTCACTGGTCTCCTCTCAGATATCCTGTTGTTGTTCTGTGTGATGGTGATCCTGAAAATTTGAATTTGGAGGTCCCCTTCATGTGTTCTAACAGTTTATAGATGACGTAGATGTTGTGATGGGTTAAGTCATAGCCCTAGTTCTGTGTCTAAATGGTAACTGGGTTAGACAAACCTTCAGAGTTCCTTCATTGTAATTACCTGGGATATCTCTCTTGTACTGTTTTGACTTGATCATGTAATGCAACATGCAGCAAAGAACAAGTCCAGTTCTCCTACTATGAGGTCCTCAGATTGAGTTCATGCACACTCACACCACCAGGGTCAGCTCCACTGAAATTCCCATGTGAGGTAGAAGGCTATTCCAGTTCCTACAAGGACCATATGAGGTGGTCGAAGTGTAGAGTACTCTCCCAACTGTTGTAAGAAGATTTCTAGGTTAGTGGTCCTTCACTCATGGAAGGACTGGCTCAAATGCACCACATGCAGACAACATTGTCAGTTCTAGTGTAGTGCCCAAACAGAGGGCAAGGCCAACTATCCCGTGCAGTGCAGCTGGTAAAAGCTAGGGCAAGTTCTAATTTCAAGTACCCAATACCAAGGCCTGCTCTCTCATGTGCAACAGATAGCATTTGACAAAATTCAATGCCTCTTTATGATAAAGGTTATGGAGAGATTAGGGATAAAAGGTTTATTCCTAAATGAAATAAAAGCTATATACAGGAAGCCTACATTTAACATTAAATTAAATGGAGAGAAACTCAAAGCCATCCCACTAAAATCAGGGAGCAAGACAAGGTTGTCCACTCTCTCCATAATTTTCAATATAGTGCATGAGTTCTAGCAATAGCAATAAGACAGCAAATCAGAAAGGAAGAAGTCAAACTTTTGTTAATTGCAGATATGATCGTGTACATAAGCGACCCACAAAACTCAACCAAAGAACTCCTACAGCTGATAACACCTTTAATAATGTGGCAGGATATAAGATCAACTCCAAAAAACCAGTTGCCCTCCAATACCTAAAGAACAAAGAAGCAAGTCCTTCTATTGTAGGGTCGTTGGGATCTGGTGATTTCATGTTGTTTTTTAGATTGTTGGAGGAATTCTTGACTTGGCGTCTGCCTATCTTTTCCTTCACCTGCTCTATATTGGATCTTCTGGTACCAGGTCAGGTTCCCTTGTTGGGCAGGGACTTCACTGACAGAATGTCTACCTTTCCTCAGGCAGTCTATTGAAACACAGGCACTCCCTCCTGCCGGGTTGCACTAACAGCCCCGGCCCAGCGCACAAGGGAGCTGTTCTGGGGAGATCTTGTGGCCCCAGGGGGAAGGGGGGAAGAGAGAAAGGTGTACCTGGATGAAGGCTGGGATGGGATTCAGGAGAGCTCCGCAGGGTGGAGCCACCACTGCAGGGCGACCAGAAAGTCGAGGGGGGTGGGGAAAGTCTGAATTCCTCCTAGCTGAAGCCCTCGGGCCAGGAGCAAACTCACCCCTCCTCCAATGGATGTCTGCTAGAAGATCACTGTCTCTTGCTGGCCAAAAATATGGCTGAGGTGATTCAGGGACTGCCTGTCAGGTAGACTCTCAAAGCACAGGAACTGCCCCTGCCCGGCTGAGCCCACAGTCCAGGCTCAGAGTGCCAAGGGGCAGCTCTGGGGAGATCTTGTGGCCTCAAGGGGAGGGGAGAAAGAGAGGGAGGTGTACCTGGATGAGGGCTGGGATGGGATTCGGGAGAGCTCCACAGGGTATAGCCACCACTCCAGGGCAACCAGAAAGTTGAGGGGGGTGGGGAAAGTCTGAATTCCTCCTAGCCAAAGCCCTTGGGCTAGGAGCAAACTCACCCCTCCTCCAATGGATGTCTATACCCAG